CGACCGTGCCTGGCAAAAATCGAATTATTATTATTATTATTATTTTTTTTTTTTTTTTTTTTTTTTTGGGTTTTTGTGGGTTTTTTGAAAAGCAGTAAAACTAAACTAACAAAGCACAAATTAAGCTCGGGTTGCCTCCCGAGAAGCGCTATTTTTAACGTCGTTTGCCCGACGCAACTACGCACTCAAAAACTCAATCAAAGACACTTCCGCTCAGAAAATTTTTCTTCCACAAATCAAACCTCTTATCAACAAATGCCCTGAGATGGCGTAAGACCTTAAATTCATGAAAACAATTACGCATCTCAGGGTTACCCGTAAAGCAACAGAATGGATCGTGGCCTTTATCAGGCCCTTTAGCAAAGAATGGGTCAAAGAATGGACAACTCCCTTTCATGTCAAAAATTTTCCGAGCTAGAGCTTCCCCTTGTTCGCTAAGTAAATTAAAACATGTAAAATTTTGGGATGGCTCAAGCTCGGGTGTAAAAATGACAGGGGGGTCAGGATTATCATCAATAAAATCATGCTCATTTAAATCACCTCTCGTCTCTCGCTCAGAACTAGCATCACTTGAATCCTCCCCTCCACTTATCATAAGACAATCAAAGCTAGGGAGGGGCTCAAGATCCTCTGCTGATATACTCTCTTCCAACAAAATATCAAACGGGGCTTCCTTGGAAAGCATGTTAGGTGTGCAATCCTCCACCATAGAATCAATATCATCCACATAAAAACACTCTCCACTGTCCTGACAGGGCCTCTTCATTATTTTGGACATATCAAAGGTGGCAGTCTCATCCCCAACACGGAGGACAAGCTTACCGTCTCCAACATCAATAAGCGCTCGGGCAGTTGCCAAGAATGGTCTGCCCAAAATTAAAGGTACCTCACGATCCTGATTCATGTCCAAAATAACGAAGTCTACAGGAATAATAAACTTGTCCACTTTAACCAACACGTCTTCAATAATACCTTTAGGATATTTGACTGAACGGTCAGCCAACTGAATACACATACGCGTTGGTTTAAGTGGACCGAGTGCAAGCTTCTCGTACAAGGAATATGGCATCAAATTAATGCTTGCACCCAAATCAGCTAAGGCCCTATCAAAAGTAAGATCTCCTATTAAACAAGGTATAGTGAAAGAACCTGGATCCTTAAGCTTCTCTGGTAGATCCCTCCTAATCACTGCTGAACAGTCCACGTTAAGCCTTACCGTTGACGCGTCTTCCAACTTCCTTTTGTTAGTGAGTAAATCCTTCATGAACTTGGCGTACTTCGGCATCTGTGCTAGTGCATCTACGAATGGAATGTTGAGCTGGACTTGTTTCATGAGTTTCAGAAAATGACCAAACTGGTCACTATCATTCTTCCTAGTCAATCGTGCCGGATAGGGGAGAGGTGGGGTGTAATTCTTAACCGGAACGGGCTGTTTTGGTGCAGCCGCCACCTCTCGTCCCTTTTCTAACTCCTTTTCTTCCTCTAGGGCAGCCGGTACGTCATTAACTTCAACGGGCTTCTTTGCCATGGCAGCAGGTTCTAATTCTTTTCCACTCCTTAAGGTGACTGCATGAACATGTTCTCTTGGGTTTGGCTCGGTATTGCTAGGGAGGGATCCCAGAGGCCTCTCAGATAAAGCCCTTGAGATCTGTCCCAATTGAGTCTCCATGTTCTGCATCCTTGAGTCAGCCTGCTGCATCCTCAAATCTGTTTGTTGTTGAGATTGCATTTGTTGCTGCTGAATTTGCAGCAACTTCTTGAGTGTTTCCTCTATGCCAGAAAATCTTTGTTCTGTTTCTCTCTTAAAACTCTCTTGCACTGGCTGAGATGCTTGATGTTGACTAAAGTTCCTAGATTGCTGCTGAATTCCTTGCCCGTAATTTCCTTGCTGCTGCTGTCCGTAGGGCTGATTTTGGTAGCCCTGTCGCTGGTAATACATCGCGTCAACTTGCTCTACTCCAGGGGCTGCCAAGTGTGTCATCATAGTGCATTCATGAGGCGAATGGAGACCCCCACAAATGGTACAAGAGGGACTAATAGGACCGGGGGCTACCATATTAACACTAGGCACCGATAGAGCAAGATTCGTCTTCTTTTGATTATCCTCCACACTGGTAGCAAGCTTCTGAATCATGCTAGTCAAAGCATCTACCCTCGCAGAAAGGGCAGAATTATCACTGATCTCGTACAAGCCCGGGGCCTTCTGGTGAGGTGTGTCCCGAGAGCCATACCATGAAGCATTATTAGAAACTATCTTCTCCACTAATTCTTCCGCCACCTCAGATGGTAATTGAGGAAAAGCTCCTCCACCCGAAGCATCAAGCATCACCTTCCCTTCATCGCTGATTCCGCTGTAGAAACAAGATAGAATCTCACTATCAGTCATCTTGCCTTGAGGGCAAGCTCTTCTTAGCACTTTGAATCTCTTCCATGCCTCGGCCAATGTCTCCAAAGAACCTTGCTTGAAATCCTGCAGCTGCCTCTTCAACTTTATTGCCTTTGATGTCGGAAAATACTCCTTGATGAAGGACTTGTGCAACTGATCCCATGTCTGAATATGGTGATGTGGATTGCTATCCAACCACCTCTGCGCGTCATCCCTCAATGAGAAAGGGAACAATAGCATCCGTACCTGATCATCATCTAGCCCAGGGATCTTGAACGTTTGGCACATCCTCAGAAATTTTGTAATGTGTGCCACTGGATCTTCTGTAGGGCTCCCTCCAAACTGATTATTGGACACCATGTTGATCACCGCTGGGTTGATCTCATAGCGAGGTGCAGTAATTCCTTGCACTTGAATGCTGTCGTACTCTGTGATGTCCGGAGTGAGGAACTCTGCAATGGTCTCTCCTTGATAAAGCGGATTGTTAAATGGGACATGATGTTGGAATAGAGGAGCCTGATGTCTTGGTTGAAGAACTGGTTGTGGTCTAATAGGATGTGGACGGGCTATGTTTGGCTGTGCTTGGGGCTGATGATATTGTTGAAATTGATTTTGGAAGGGCTGAGTTTGTGGTTGATGGATGGGTGGATTTTGAGTGACTTGGGGCTGGTTTTGTCTTGGCTGAAAGAGTGGATTATTTTGTCCAATACCTTGCATCCCGTATGTTTGATTTTGAAACGTAGTTTCGGGAGCAGTAGAGGTATCTTGGAAGAGTTGATAAAGCGGAGTCATGTTGATTTGGGGTGTGGCCTGATTTTGAGGAAAGAATGGTGTGCGGGAATTCTGAAATCCCGAGTAATTTCTAGGTGAAAAAGGCGGTGAAGACTGGGGAGAGGTATTGACATAAAAATCAAGGTTACCAGAAGTGGTTTGGACCTCAGACGTCCCAGCAATTCCAGATGATGTAGGTTCCATGTTTACGTTCTTCTCAAGAAAAACCTTGCGGTTCTGTCTAGCAAACTTCTCAATCTCAGGATTAAGAGGGACAAGTGATTCTCCCTTCTTTGAACGTGTATGCATAAACAGATCTGACCTGCAAGGTTAGAAGACAAAAATCCTACGAAAAACTAAAAACAAGTCGCTGAAATTAATTAACCCTTAAATCCGACACCGTCCCCGGCAACGGCGCCAAAAACTGATGTGTGTTTTCTCGCACTTAAAAATGATGTAGTAAAGTGGTTGAAAGTACGAGTATCGTCTCCACAGGGACGGACAAAAGGGAATTAAAGATTAACTAAATTCAGCGAATAAAACTAAAATAAAATAAAATGCAAGTGTGCGAGATTGATTGATTGAATTAAAATTAAAACTAATGCTAATGAGCGAATAAAAAGATTTGGTTTTCCTTAATTAACGACGAAGGGAACAGGAATTGATTCCGGGGTTAACCAGATTTCTGGCAGAACAGGCCTAATCTCATGAATTTAATTTAATTGAGCCTAGCTAATCATTACTAAGTTCTTACCGCTCTCGCGGCGTAGAGTACAATAATTTAGGGGACCAGGCTGATCTCTCATGCGACAGGATCTCAAATTATTGCCAAGACGAGCGAGCTTACGGCCCCTTAATCGCTACTAATCTCTTAGCGAACGATTAAGTGTGTGTGAATGTGTCCTAGAACAAATTAGATCTCTCTTAATTCATTCTACATGCAATTGTAATTCTAGCTGCAGTCTAGGTTACAAAAGATATCAATTAAATTATTCAAACACAAATTAAACGGCATTCATGCAATTAAACCGACAAGAATCTAGCCATCAAACATGATTAACCCCTTCATCAACCCCAATTCCCTAATTAAACTACTCACGCCTCATAATTGACGAATCAAAAGAATTGGGATGAATAGAAATAATTGTCATTAATTAAAGAATTGAACTTACAAAGAATCCCAGGTTCTTGGATTAAACAACGTAAAAACGCAGATAAACTCGTCCCTAGGCCTCTCTCCAAAGTTCGTAACCCTCAAAAATGGGTATGGAGGCCATATTTATAGAAAACAGGAAATTTGAGTCGATTTAGGACAAATCGCGGCCAGGCACGGTGCCAGGCACGATCGTGCCTGCGACCGTGCCTGCGGAAGAGACGCGCAAAAATTAAGCAGACACGATCGTGCCTGCACCGGACACGATCGTGTCTGGCTGCCAGTAGCTTCACGTTGATTAAGATGGCAGGCACGATCGTGCCTGACCTAGGCACGGCCGTGCCTGCCCTTTTCTTCACCATTTTTCTTCGTTTCTCGTTCCGAATGCTCCCGAATGCCTACGACGTCGATCCAAATGCTCTTTCTTCACCAGAATTTCGTCGTGAATCTCCCGGCGGCCTCCAAATCTTCCAAATCTCTCTCGAATGCCTTCAAATCCTTCCCGAATGCCTCTCAAGCGCCGATTGCCGGACTCTAACTTCTTCAAATCAGCTCCAAATGCTATGAAACTCGATCCAACGCCTGTTAAACACAACTTGAGCCAAAATTGAGACTTGCAACGCCTTAAAGCCAGGAAAATCATCAAAATCCGACTCGAACACGCATCAAATGCGTGTCTAAATACGGACTTATCAAGGATGAGCCAATTGAGCTTGAGATTGAGGAAGGAATTGAGGCAGAGGAGGATGCCAATAATGAGGACCTACCTGATGCCATAATAGGTGAGGGTGAAGACAAACCTGAAGAGGTTGCTGTGGAGAGGCCTAGGAAAAGATCAAAGTACATGACAAAATATAAAAGAGCAAGAATTTTGGGTACTCGAGCTCTTCAGATCAGCATGAATGCTCCTGTGATGGTTGATTTGGAGGGTGAAAGTGATCCTCTTGAGATTGCTATGAAAGAGCTACGAGAGAGGAAGATTCCCTTCACAATTCGTCGGTATCTCCCAGATGGAAGTTATGAAGATTGGGGGGTTGACGAACTCATTGTTGAAGACTCGTGGAAGAGGCAAGTCGGGGGAGGCTAAGTAACCGTTTCTAAATTGTTGCAGTGCCTTTGATAGAATGATGAGGCTGCACTGTCAACTGAATGTTCTTGTGGAACTGTGATTAGTTTCAATCTTTCTGCTCTCCTTATCGTGGTGATAGCTTGATTAGCAAAAAAAGAATTATTAGCAAAAAAAAAAGTACAAAACACAATTCAAATAAAATAAAAACAAAACACAATCGAAAGAAAAAGAAAATGTTAATAAAACCTTTTCTCGTTCTCGTGTTAAATGAGTACAAAATGGACCAACAAACCAATGGGCAATGGCCGAGTCACCCATCAAACAAGCCTAGCCAAAATGCTTATATAAATCCCAAAGGCTCGTTATTTGTCAAATTTCAAAGGCTCATATATTTCATCACTTCGCCTCATGGCCCTCATAATAGCTAACTATGTAACAATTTCCTCCCTTTCTATCTAAACCACCTTTACTATTTTTTGAGAACTCCGGTACCCATTTAAAAAATGGGGCAGCGTATCTACCATTCACTTGATTGGTCCAAATAGGTATATCATTTTTAATTTAGACTTAAATAATTCAACTGCAATATTTTGATCGGTCCATGTGGACAAAGGTATGATACCTTTTGGGTACCGTAAAATCTACCTTACTATTTTGATTCTAAATACGGAGTATAACTTAACTAATTTGTCTTACGGCATGGATGTGTAAAATGTGAAGTATAATTGATGTAAAGTGAAAAAATATTATACATATACATTTTCAAAATCACATTGTCTAGAATGAAAAACAAGTGGGACAAATAAATTATAAAATGATGAAATGGGCTTTTATAAGGTTAAAAATGCGCATTTATAAGAATTACAATAATATGAGGATGTAACATATTACAATAATATAAGGATGCAACATTGCATGCTAATGTATGATATGAGTTGTTAAGAATCATTCTTTTAACTACAATTTCTTTATCGCTTAAAACAGGGAATAAAGTTTGAAGGTTAAAATGGTAAAATAACAATTTTGGACATTTAGTGGTTAACGTAGGAGAGAGTTGATTATGTTAGCGCTTTATTTATAGCAGATTCAATTAGCAGGTTTGACTAGCGGAATAAGTTAGGATGTTTTCTTTTGGACTGAAATTTGCTGGTCTGATCTGGTTTGGTCTGTTTAAGTCTGGTCTGGTCTGTTTAAGTCTGATCTGGTCTGGTCTGGTCTGAACTGGTCTAGTCTGGTAAATGTCTGGTCTCTGTGTATTTTATTACTACGGAAGTCTGGTCTGGTCTGGTCTGTTTAGGTCTGGTCTGGTCTGGGACTAAAAACAGTCCAAAATAAAACATCCTTAGTGAGTTGCAAAATGATATTGTATTTGATAATTTAACTGTTTGACCGTATCAATTAATAAGAAATGACATGTAGTATTTCAAAACGTAGACTTGAAATGTTGCTATTTTACAACGGTTCGGTTTCAACCATTCCGTTCAAAGACCCTCGTGTTAACATATCCCAATCCAATAAAAAACCCTAAGTTATTGATGAAGTAGGTAGGACATGTTTGCTCCTTCCCTAATTAAGGTAACCCTCTCGGTGTAAGCTCGTTCCCTTAGCTCAACTCAACTCCACTTCACACAGTATAACATAAAGTGCATTTATGATATGGTCATCTTCTCTACGTGACACATAAATGGATTGGAGGAGGCATGCACCGATGATCTATCCGTAACTAACATTCATATGATTTTTATGGGTTCACCCTGACCCTGCCCTCCGTCTATATTTAACTCCAACTAACCACCACCACCGCCACCCCTTGTACTAATTCATAATCAGTACCAAAAAATTACGGAATTGTTACAGATTGATAATTTTGTATCAAATAGTTCGTGTCAAAATGTTTTTGGTATGAATTTGACATATCCTTGTCAAATCCTCTATAAATTCGATGAACCCTGCCAAAAATCTCTGTCAACCCAATGTTTTTCTTTTTGTAGTGAATTACACCTCAATTTCTGCTAGCAAGCTACTTATACCACGTATAACCCTTCTCACTCTTCTATAATCAACCAAAATGAGTAATTCTTTTTTATTCTTGCTGGCTTTTGTTTTATCAAACGCTGCCATTGTCAGAGCTCAAGATCTCCAGGCTCCCCACGGCCTGGCATACCACATCCCCGACGCCACCGCCATCTCGCCTGAAGCGTACGCCTTTTTCAACCCCGGAGATGGGCGCCGACCCAAGACTGCTGCCTCTGCTACTGTCGCCTCTGCCGCTGCATCGGGGTACTTTCCGGCGGAGCAATCAATGCCGGTGGTAGTGCGCAATGCTGGAGATGATGGGGTAGCTGGAATACTTATCGGGTTTCTGTTTGTTGTGGTTATAGCGCTAGGGGTTTACTTGCTATTTCTGACGACGTCACGGAAGCAGAGCCGAGAAGGAAATGGCGGTCAACAAATAAGAGTTTGAAGATGCTGTCTGTTTTGAAGGTGTACGTAAAATAAGAGTTAAAATTGCCATTTGGTATTCCATATTGGTAAGGATAAGAAGTTTATAAGTTACGATAGTATTTATTTTATAGAGAAATTGGAAGAAAACATCTTTAAAATATGAGTATTATATTTTACGATTTGAATAAAGTAGTAACGTGTTTAAATCATATCATATCGCTGTATTTTGATGGTGTTAGATTTCATATTATAAACGATCAGCGAATCGTGTTGCTCATGCTTTAGCTAAAGCAGACGGTTCTTCCCCTGATTGTTGTTCTTTTATCGAGTAGGCTCATGATTCGATTGTAAACTTACTTCACAATGATTTGTTAGATTAATAAAATTTTGATCTAGTGTAAAAAAAAGGTAGACATGAAAATGATGATATGTTCTCAACAATATTAGGGGTGGGCACGGTCCGGTCCGGTCCAATATTTGGCCGAACCCGTACCCGTACCGTTACTATTGAAACGGTTCGGTACGGTTCGGTCTTAGACCCAAACCCGTTCGGTACGGTCCATTTTCAAACGGGACGGTACCATGCCATACCAATACCAAACAATGCCACTTTTTCCAGGTGTTTAAGAAAAAATTAAAGTTTAGCCATCCTCCAAAATATCCACACAATTTATCAATTTTCATATATCATACTACCTTCGTTCCAAATTGATTTGCAAAGTCAATCTTTTTTGGTCAAACAATTTTTTTTATTCACTTAATTAGAATTTCACTTTTTAATTATATTCTAATTTGGTCTTTCAAAAAAACTACTCCGTACTTCGTATATTTTGATTTTGCAACTTTAGAGAGATTTTAATGTGGTTTCTAAACATGTAAATTTTAATTATTAAAAATTGTATTAATTATCAAGAACTTAACATTAACTTTGACAAAAAGGTGTTGGTTTTGCAAATCAATTTGGGACGGATGAGGTAATTAATATATTTTAGATAAACTATAGTAGTACAAATTTAATAAACCATACTTCGGTCCGGTTCGGTCCGGTACCGGTTCTCATTTTATGAGAACCGGTCATGGCATTGTTTGGAACCGGTTCGGGACAAAAAATTTTGAGATCCGTTCAAACCCCGTTTATCGGTCCGGTACCATACCGGTCCGGTTCGGTATCATGCCGGTTCGGTATTTTTGTCCACCCCTAAACAATCATCCTACATAATTGCACTACTTTACTATAGAGGCATTTTCCCGCTCAAGCGCCTAATCCATTTCAGCCGTCCGATAGAAAGAACATCTACGACTTTCACTTCACCTTTCACTTTCTCGCACCATCTTCCTTATCTCACTGCGCTCATCACCATAGTCGCTCATCATGGAACTGAAAGGATTCTCACTTCATTCCAGATCCGCCGCATTTCTCAATAACTTTGAAATTAAAGGTCAAGGCACATGTCTTTCTCAATCGCTCATCGTCACCGCATTTCTGATTTCACCGCCCTTTCACAAATCAAATTTAGGTTTCTCAATCTATCTCTTTATCAATCGCACATAGAAAATCCATCTCTGGGGTGAGTATACCACCCGAGCCTCCGAGTGATGCCCCTGCATTCAGCCATGTTGCCGGTTCTCCTATGCCATCTTCGTCACTCAGCTATGAGGCTCTGTTGATCAGATATGTTAATATTAATTAATTTTACACATTTATATTCTCAATTTCATTAGTTTATAATTGAACTTCTGATTGCTCTTTTCATTTTCGTTTCTCTTCTAAAGCTCTTTATTGATAGGAATTCAGATCTGGTTGTGCGTGTATTTCGAATAAAGATTTTATGATTAAGCGAATAGGCTATATTAAATTCAATTTTTATTTTATGATTGTGAAAATATTTTAGCCACGCCTCCATGTTTGGTTAGGATTGATAGCTTTTAGCCACACTACTTATGACATTAATCTGTCATGAAAAGTTTTCACAAATCCGAGAGTAGGATGGCTAGATTTGTTCTTTATTTGGTCTTGATTACCTCTTTGCATATATGTAGTATTTATTTGATCTTGATTACCTTTTTGCATTTTACTAACTAATTAAGATTAAAGCAGATACATAGATTATTGAACTTTTAATTCTTTTAGGATTACGTTACTACAAGGTGGTACCAAATGCCCCCCTGAATTCTTCTGCATTTTCTCTTTTTGCGTCAAGTTTCTGAAGCTGTTCCACTCTTGAAACTGAAATATCATACCTCAAACTGAAATATCATATACGTAGTATATCTGAACTACAATATTGAATCATTTTATGTGAGATTCATTCAGAGTCTAGACTATTGATTTGGGTATTTTTGAGTTCAATTGCAGGATGCTAAGAGTACCTGCCTCCAAGTTTCTGTATACTCATGTAAACTGCAGCTAGGTAGTCTAATGTTAAAATCCATCAAGAGAAGAGAAGGCAGAGAAAGCTGAAAAGAAGAGAAGGCAAAGAAAGTTGAAGGAGATATTTTCAATTATCTCCTACAAAGCAAACTAGCAATTGAAAGTATATTTTCGTACATGAATTTATGATGGGGATTACAAGCCTCCATCTCAACCTACATAATTGCACTACTTTGTGGAGGAGGCATTTTCCCGCTCAAAGAACAAGTACTTTTCAGCCACACGATCAGAAAAGATTCACGGCTTTGAGATCGTTCATTCCTCCTCATCCCAGCCTCCCAAGCCATCGCGGTCCTGTACTACATCGCCTTCCTCTTCTTCGCTCATCGTAATCCCCATCACGCTTGGCAACCTATCTTTCTCCATCGTCTTCATCATCTTCACTCATCAGCAACTCTTCTTCTCCATTCATAGGAATCAATCTAAGCTCAACAACATGGAAGCAACCCCTCTCTCCAAATTCAGGTTTTGATTCCCATTTTAATTTTCTTTGAATTAAATACTTTCAGTTCTTGATTCAGCTTTTGATTCCTGTTTTTTCTATAAACACTTGGGGATTGTTCGATTGTCATCATCAACAGAAAAAAATTCTCTTCCAAATTTGGATTCCAGTTTCAACTCATTTCTTGGCAAATGGTTCTCTTCTCACTCACGTTTCCTCATCTGCCATTTGTTTCTTCAGTCGTTGCCTATGCCATGATAGTTTATAACTCCCATCTTCAATTTGCTAGCTTATTTAAGTTTTTACTCCCGGACTCCCCTTTCCTGTTTTAATTCCATTTTCGATAATTTCTTCTTTTCCTTGGTTTTGCAAATTTTATTCAAGCTTCAGCTAACAGAATTCCCAGCTCATATCAAATTTTCTTCTATCTTTTAATTTACAGGTGATATGCAATCTTAAGAATCAAGCAAAATTCCCAGCTCATATCAAATTGTTCAATCAAAACCACAAGGGTATGTTTTAATTTATTTTTATTTTTTCATACTCTGTCTAATTTACAGTGCATATGCATATGCATATCACAGGCTATTGGCATTATGGTGATCTAATAATTCTCCCAAATAGAGGTTGACCGCTGACCTATGTATGTTTATAAGCCATTTCTCTTATTTGTAGTTTCATTTTTAATGATAGAATGAATAGGCTATTGATGGAGATGAATAATTTAGTGATTGCATTATTGAATAGACATTTTTTGCAGGGTTGAATAATGGAAATGTGCAAATTGAAAATAATGCGTATTATGAAGTGAATGTCTTCCTCACAATGAGAATGAGGATATAACAGAATCCACTTCAAAGTGCTCTGAAGTGCATTATGTATGAGGACCGAGGAGGATGTTATAATCATTTGTCAACATATATGAATTCAAGAAATATATTGATGGGTTGGTGGTAATTTGAACCAGTTCTACTTTTTTGTCATTTTCAGTAAAGGAGCATTGACATATTATGTATGTTTTCACTATCAATATTTAGTTCAGAAGTAAGATGGAATGTTAATTTTGTTGAATTTTCAGATGTTTATACCTTCGATTTTGGAGTAAATTTTTTACAGCAACGAGTATGTCATGAGCTATTGACGATCAGTACAAGTTTCTTAATATCATGGACCAATATTGCAAGTTTAAAAAGTTGCTGCAGCATTAGGCAAAAGAGGAAGATAGAAACAGAGCCACACAAGTTTGACATGAAGTGTAAAGTAAATTTTGTTTGGTTAGGATTGATAGCTTTGAGCCAATTTTTAAAAATTATAGTCATAAGCCAAACACAAAGACATACGTAGTACTATAATGAAACATTACTGTAATATATGAAGTATACTCCGTATAAACCTAGACAGGCCAGGGTGTCATTCTCTCCTTTTATTTTCTATTTGTCTCTCTAACCAAACAATTAATAGGTGAAAGCAAGATAAAATAGCCTAAAATCTGATGGACACATTAAAAAAATATAATGTAAAATATAAACTTATGAAAAAACCACAAAAAGATAATGTAAAATATATAATTATTAAAAGCTATAAATCAGGTAATCAATTTAAAACGTTAGCGTTAAGATTTTTCACTTTTGGAGTACATTGTAAGAAGTAGAGTTTAACCAAACTTGAAAAGTATTAAGGATGTTCATCAGTCCCAAATCAGACCAGATTTAAACAAATCAAATCAGACTAAACAATTCTAGACTTGAACAGTTATAAAATACACAAACACTAGATTACCAGATCATTTTAGATTAGACCAGATCAGACTAAAACATATCAGATCAGACCAGACCAACAAATTACAGTCCAAAAGAAAATATCTTAATTATTGTGGGGTCTCGACGAACATTAATGGTTATTCTTCAAGAAATTTAAAATTTTGTTAACGCCTCTTATTAGTGTTTGTTGGTGGACATTGAAATAAAAAACAACAATTTTGAATATGGTTCTTTTATGAGGCTTTTTTCACAAAAAACGTAACTTTTGATTTTGCGCACTGAATTATGTAAAAGTAAGATAAAATAAGGTCCGTGTTACTTTACTGGGTATATTGGATAAAGTTAATATAGAGAATCATTTTAGTTGTTTCTTCGTATAATATTTTCTTTATTTTATTAATAAAATATATTTTAAATATAATTCTTTCATAAATTAGCAGAATCAGTCAATCCAGCCACTTCAATCAGAACTTCATAAATTTTAGCAGAATCAGCAAATACAACTGATTTGGTTATTACCAAACAGACTCTATTTTTAAAAAAGTGAGTTGAATTTTCTTCTCTTTCTCTCAACATGTCAATCCCTTTGATGCTTGGTTAGGGATAATCGTCAACAAGAGAAAGATTATCGTCTCTAGAGTGGATTGTGTTTTCTTGCGTCATCTTACTTTCACTCATGGACACATGTGCGTCATGGTCTCACGAGTAATGGACACCG